TGTTGGGTTTCAGTCCTGTCTGTGGTCTTGTATCCAGTCTTCTCGGTGTGTGTTTGCATTTAGATCTGGTCCTGTCTGTTTGTGTCTTGTGGAGTTGGTCTATGTTGTTCTGTGAGGTGGTTCTGGTCTGATATGTCCTTCTGTTCGGTGCCTGCCTTAGTTCTTGTTCAGTTCTGGTCCTGTCTGATGTACTAGTTTCCGTACCATCGTGCTTGGGTCTGCTCGGTGTCAATTGATTTTCTCTGCCAGTTTCATTAGTTAAGCAGATTTTGGTGGCCGCCTCCTTGTTGTCTCTGCAGAAACAGGCATAAAACCTGTTAAGCTCATCAGGGGAGGAGGCGTTGCTGGTTGGGGGATGGTGTTGGAGGGTTTGCAGTCGGCCTGGATGCCTCGCCATGTGTGTCAGGGGTCAGATTTGTTGCTCCTCAGTCCTTAGTTCATGGCTGTACTCGGCCCTCCTGATGCCCCTCTTCAGGTTAGTCCTGGATGCACTGTAGGCCTCACCTGGTCTGACTCAGCGTCGCGTGCCTCCTCCTCTTCATCCTTTTCGTCCTGTCCTCCACCTCACCCCTCCCTCCATTGTCTCTTCTTGTTCTTCTTCTGCTCTCATTGCTTCATCAGCTGTTTCCTCTCAGCTGTCGGGGGGACTGTAAGCGTGAGCGTGATTCATCACAGACTTCAGCAGTAACGAACTAATTGGGGATTTACCCTGGAGACGCTGATGTGCTGACTCTTTCTGTGTGTGTGTTTCTGAGGACCAAACTGAACAAGCTCACAAGTTTCTAAAGGATTAGGACTTCAGAGATCGTTAGTTTAATCTGCAGCCGGCTGAGTGTGAATGAAACACACATGAAATACACAACGCTGTCGTGATGTCGGACGGGAAGAAACATGTTGGAATAACTTGAAGTTTAAATAAACACTGTGGCATTCACAGGAATCTTTACAGTTTCAGCTTTAAGTCACAAAGAGAGTGGAGAGTGAAATCCCTGCTTCCAGTCTTCATGCTAAGCTAGGCTAAGATGTGTCACACTGATAAACTGCTTTGTGCTACAGAGACATCCCATGTGTCAGATATCAGAGCTGAGCTGAAAATCAGGCAAATACTCTTCTAATTTAGGGTTTAGTTGTCCTAATGTAACTCTAATCCAGTAAGAGCACACGGTGCCACTGGTGGCTGTGTGACAAAGTCCTTTCACAAACAGCAGAAAAACGTTCACTTTGCAATAATATTTATTCTCTGCAGAACAAACCTAGTCAGATGGTCACTGGGAGAGCAAACATGGGCTGATAAAACAGGCACAGCTCGCCTTCTATATGTAGGCTGCTCCTGTGTTATTGCCACAATTCCTTACATGTCATTCATAGAAGCTTTAGGAATAATCAACCGTACTACTGGAGAAAGCAAATCAAATGCAGCGTCCTTCAGAGTCCTAATCAACATGCAAAGCAAAGTGCATTCCCCAGAAATAAGCATGGAGCCCGGTGGCTTTTTCCATCCTGATGCACCGCAGATGGAACACCGAGACTGTTAGGGTTCTGTATTCCTGAGGAACCCACAGCACAAAGAGAAAATCACAGAACCATTTACTGACAACTTCACTAGAATGTGAGATGGTGATTTTTAGCGGGCAGTCTTGGTGACTGAGCTGGGCGGGAGTCAGGGAAACAGGTGGAAGGCTGAATGATGAAGAGGGAGGTGAGGATGGAGGAGGGAGGATAAAGATAAGGATGGAGGGGGCAATAATAAAAAAATAGGATAAAAGGAGGATGGATGAAGAGAGGAAGTCAGAAAATTAGATGGAGACACTTCAAACGAAACTGAGCTACCTACTGCTGACAGAGTGTGAACATCAATGTGATTTTAGACAAAGCTGCTACACACACACACACACACACACACACACACACACACAAGCGCACACCCATTCAGATGCAGATGAATCGTTCTTTTATATCCGGACTGAAAAAGAGCGAGCGACATTAACACACCAGGACGAAGAGAGAGAGAGGGGATGAAAGGTGTCTCCTTTTCCCATGATGCCATTCAGTCGAGTAGGTCGCGTAGAATCGATGTCACAGTAACCACATACCTGTCAGTCATCTCCTGTCAGGCGGCGAGCGTGTTTGTCTGAAAACATAATGCGCCTGCAGTCTTTCATTAGCGCCACCCTGCCTGGTAAGTAAGTGTGTATTCCAACATCACCGGCTCAGATTGCTCATTTTCATCCATGTATGGCTCATCCCCCCCCCCCACGCCACAGTCACAGTGACCTCCTGTGTCTCTGAACAAACTGCTCCTCCTGTCCTTTAAACTCCTTCCCGAGCAACGTCCTCATATTAGAGTGGATCTCTGAGGTCTTTGCTTCTGCTGCTTTTCATCAGTTCAGTGTGACATTTGACTTTGTGATGCTAACGTGCTAACACCAACGTAGAGGCCTTTTTAGGAACCGATATGACGACGACAACAATTAAAGCCATAATGAGAGAAACAGCGTTTATTCTGGATGGACATCAGAGATAATGAAATCCTGGTGTCAGTCACACTGAGTCATGTGTTTCATGTCTGGGTGTTCAGATTTGACTGAGCAGAGACTTTCTGAAACTCAACAGATAACACTGGACTCATTTTGTTGGGAAGATTTTTTATAAAACACAGACAAGTTAGGTCAGTATTACACTAGTAGTACGACGTAGACCGGCTCTATAGGAGAAAACTTCTGTTATCAGCTGGCGCCATATAAATAAAATTTAATTGAAGTCGAAGGTTCAAAGGTTAATTTAATGGTAATTTTAAAACACAAGGTTGTAGCACAAATTTATGTTTGTAGTCCCCAAAAAACTATTAGGTTTGATGGAGAAGCCTCGGGGAAGAAGCTGCTCTGCAGTCTGGTGGTGCAACAGCAGATCCCTCTGTATCTTTTCCCAACAAGCTGGGTGGGTTCTGTTCTTTAGTATCACCCGCTGCAGAGCCCTCCTGTCCTGGGTCGTGCACATCCTGTGCCAGTTAGTGATGTTTCCGGTCAGGATGCTTTCTATTGCTCCTCTGTAAAAGGTAACAAGAACTTGTGCCCATTCAATGAACTGCAGTTTTTGGCACTTGCGCAGATAGTGAAACTTTCGCGTTTGCTACACCAAACTACTTGAATGCGAAAACCTACTTGGGATTAAAGATTCTGAGCTTAGGGTTTTTTGGTGCGATACCAGCAAGCATTTAATTCTCAAACTGTCAACATAGTTTTGTGTAATCATGACCTTGAGAGTTCATTCTTCCAACAACAGAAGTCTATTCTTTACATTCATGGGTTTGAGAAACACATTTTCCCTCCCCCTGGCAGAAATTTTTCCGATCAGTCATTATGTTTGTTGTAGAAGTAGTTTTATTTATTTATTTTACTAAACTTTTTTAACCAGAAAACCTTATAGATTAGTAAATTAGTTTTTTTTTATCAGTTTTATAACCGACACAGGCAGCAGATTCAAAGAGTTAGACTAACACAGGATATACCACACAATCTGAATTGTGATTATAAAATCACCAATAATGTTTCTAATACAGCCCTAACACATGTACAAAATCGATCCTAAAAATAATCCTAAATGCTGCCTTAAAACAATCTAGGAGCTGTATAAAACTATAACAATAACTAATGACCAATTTAGAGCAATAACTTAGAGAGACAAACACATGGAGAGTCTGTAACACCTAAAACATCTTCAGCCAGAGGAGAGCCAGCAGAGTTTGAGCTGTAGAAACAATCAGAGCTGATGAAGTGAAATCAGCTACACTGTTTGACAGAACAGAGATGTTTATAAGAGAGAGAAATTAAAAATACATTAATTTTAGAATGAGAAACTTTACAGTTTAAGTTTGGTGTTTTGATTTAAAGAGGACAATGATGAGAAAGCTGACCTGGTGATGAAAAGTTCCATTCAAACAAGATGTACAAATCACTAAATTGATTTTCATCCTGCAGGTGGGGCTTACTGGGAATGGACAGGATTTAATATACAGAGAGACAAGGGGGTGTGGCCTCTTGTTCTGACCAATCAACGGCACAGAGGGGCGTGGTTACAACCAATCATCAGCCTGGAGAGAAGACTGTCTCTGCCCACTCAGGTACATTACATTACTTTGGATTTTGTACACAGTGATTAACAACAAACTACATACTGTAGGAGCAAGACGTAAATGATCCCTTTAAACACATGCACAAACTCACAGAAGCAGAACAAGTGCCTAAGATGGTGTTAAGTTAAGGAAACCAGACTGTTGATTGTTGAGTTGTAGAGTGAACAGGTGGTTCAGACTTCTACTGCAGAAGACGTGCATTGACTGCAGCAGAAGACGTGCAGTGACAGGAGCAGAAAACGTACAGTGACTCTGTAGCAGAAGACGTGCAGTGACAGGAGCAGAAGACGTGCAGTGACAGGAGCAGAAAACGTACAGTGACTCTGTAGCAGAAGACGTGCAGTGACAGGAGCAGAAAACGTACAGTGACTCTGCAGCAGAAGACGTGCAGTGACTGCAGCAGAAGACGTGCAGTGACAGGAGCAGAAAACGTACAGTGACTCTGCAGCAGAAGACGTGCAGTGACTGCAGCAGAAGACGTGCAGTGACTGCAGCAGAAGACGTGCAGTGACTGCAGCAGAAGACGTGCAGTGACAGGAGCAGAAAACGTACAGTGACTCTGCAGCAGAAGACGTGCAGTGACCGCAGCAGAAAACGTGCAGTGACTCTGCAGCAGAAGACGTGCAGTGACAGGAGCAGAAAACGTACAGTGACTCTGCAGCAGAAGACGTGCAGTGACTGCAGCAGAAGACGTGCAGTGACTGCAGCAGAAGACGTGCAGTGACTGCAGCAGAAGACGTGCAGTGACAGGAGCAGAAAACGTGCAGTGACAGGAGCAGAAAACGTGCAGTGACAGGAGCAGAAAACGTGCAGTGACTCTGCAGCAGAAGACGTGCAGTGACTGCAGCAGAAGACGTGCAGTGACTGCAGCAGAAGACGTGCAGTGACTGCAGCAGAAGACGTGCAGTGACTCTGCAGCAGAAGACGTGCAGTGACTGCAGCAGAAGACATGCAGTGACCGCAGCACAAAACGTGCAGTGACTCTGCAGCAGAAGACGTGCAGTGACTGCAGCAGAAGACGTGCAGTGACTGCATCATAAAACGTGCAGTGACTCTGCAGCAGAAACGTGCAGTGACTGCAGCAGAAGACGTGCAGTGACTGCAGCAGAAGACGTGCAGTGACTGCATCATAAAACGTGCAGTGACTCTGCAGCAGAAGACGTGCAGTGACTGCAGCAGAAGACGTGCAGTGACTCTGCAGCAGAAGACGTGCAGTGACTGCAGCAGAAGACGTGCAGTGACTGCAGCACAAAACGTGCAGTGACTGCAGCACAAAACGTGCAGTGACTGCAGCACAAAACGTGCAGTGACACTGCAGCACAAAACGTGCAGTGACACTGCAGCACAAAACGTGCAGTGACTGCAGCACAAAACGTGCAGTGACTGCAGCACAAAACTTGCAGTGACTCTGCAGCACAAAACGTGCATTGACTGCAGCAGAAAACATGCATTGACTGCAGCAGAAAACGTGCAGAGACTGCAGCACAAAACGTACAGTGACTGCAGCAGAAAACGTGCATTGACTGCAGCAGAAAACGTGCAGTGACTGCAGCACAAAACGTACAGTGACTGCAGCACAAAACGTGCAGTGACTCTGCAGCAGAAGACGTGCATTGACTGCAGCAGAAAACGTGCAGTGACTTCAGCAGAAGACGTGCAGTGACTGCAGCAGAAGACGTGCATTGACTGCAGCACAAAACGTACAGTGACTGCAGCAGAAGACGTGCAGTGACTCTGCAGAAGACGTGCATTGACTGCAGCACAAAACGTACAGTGACTCTGCAGCAGAAAACGTGCAGTGACTCTGCAGCAGAAGACGTGCATTGACTGCAGCACAAAACGTACAGTGACTCTGCAGCAGAAAACGTGCATTGACTGCAGCACAAAACGTACAGTGACTCTGCAGCAGAAAACGTGCAGTGACTCTGCAGCAGAAGACGTGCATTGACTGCAGCACAAAACGTACAGTGACTCTGCAGCAGAAAACGTGCAGTGACTCTGCAGAAGAAGACGTGCAGTGACTTCAGCAGAAGACGTGCATTGACTGCAGCACAAAACGTACAGTGACTTCAGCAGAAGACGTGCAGTGACTTCAGCAGAAGACGTGCAGTGACTTCAGCACAAAACGTGCAGTGACTGCAGCAGAAGACGTGCATTGACTGCAGCAGAAAACGTGCAGTGACTTCAGCAGAAGACGTGCAGTGACTGCAGCAGAAGACGTGCATTGACTGCAGCACAAAACGTACAGTGACTGCAGCAGAAGACGTGCAGTGACTCTGCAGAAGACGTGCATTGACTGCAGCACAAAACGTACAGTGACTGCAGCAGAAGACGTGCAGTGACTCTGCAGCAGAAGACGTGCATTGACTGCAGCACAAAACGTGCAGTGACTCTGCAGCAGAAAACGTGCAGTGACTCTGCAGAAGAAGACGTGCAGTGACTTCAGCAGAAGACGTGCATTGACTGCAGCACAAAACGTACAGTGACTTCAGCAGAAGACGTGCAGTGACTTCAGCAGAAGACGTGCAGTGACTGCAGCACAAAACGTACAGTGACTTCAGCAGAAGACGTGCAGTGACTGCAGCACAAAACGTACAGTGACTTCAGCAGAAAACGTGCAGTGACTGCAGCAGAAGACGTGCAGAGAGAGAGAGACAGGTCCATGCAGACAGACAAGTGGTAAGACAGGTGGACATGTGGCAGACAAACTGATGTGAAAACTCTCTCTATCTCCCTTTCTCTCACAGCAATGTGTATTTGAACCTGTATCTCCCTCTCAGCTCTGCATTGACAGGTGGCCTGTCTTACCTGTCCAGGTGAGTCTGTTTGTGTTTCTTACTGTTTGCTGTCTGTCTGCCAGTCTGCCTTTCTGTCTGTCCATTTAACTTGCTTATAATAACTGTTTTCTGTCTTTCTTTAGATGATGAAGGAAGTTCATCCCTCCTTCTTTTCTTCAGGGTTTTCTTCCAGATTGACTCTGCTGACTGACTACAGACACAGTAAGACTTGTCTGTCTGTCTGTCTGTCTATCTGTGGTTGTTGTTCATGTTATTTGTTGAAATTTGATCCTCTGACATAAACACAGACTTTAAAGTGATCTAAATTTTTCACATCAGCGTGTGGTTCCAGGTGTTGAGGAGTTCTGCTGTATGTACAAGTAGTATAAAGCCTTCAGTGTGTGTGAAGTCTGATAAATGTCCTCAATCAGAATCAGAATCAGAAGGAGCTTTATTGCCAAGTTGTGTTACACACATAAATAAATAAATAAATACATTTTATTTATAATGCACTTTACATTTCAACGAAATCTCAAAGGGGGTTAAAAACAGTTCCCAAAATATAACAAAATAAACAAATAGCAATAAAACACCACAAAAATAAAATTAAAATCATGAGTGTTGAAAGGCCTTTTGAAATAGGAATGTCTTTAGGCCCTTCTTAAAAACCTCCACAGTTTGTGGGGCCCCTAGGGTCTCTGGGAGGACATTCCAGAGCCGTGGGGCGACTGCCTGGAAGGCCCTGTCTCCCATAGTGGAGAATACGAGGAGTTTGTTTTGGTGGTAAGGTGCTACACATAGACAAACATATAGTTGACATAAATAAAAGTATAAGTATATAAATATGACATAGACAATGCAAGTTAAATGAGAATATTAAAGTGAAAAGAGAAATAATACAACTATTTGCAGAACATGTGCATTATTCTGGGTTTGTGTTGTGCAGACGTATTGCAACGAAATATATAAATTGACAATATAAAAATATAGAACAACAAAGATTAACAATTAACAACAATGTGTGCAATGTGCCAGGGTTGTGCATGATATGAAATGAAACAGTATTTACATGTGCAGAGACATTTGTATCACTTGAAAGGGGGAGTGTCAGAGGGGACCCGGGTCTTGTTGATGAGGCTGCAGACAGGTAGAAACTGTTTTTGTGGCGAGAGGTTTTGGTCCTGATGGACCGCAGCCTCCTGCCAGAGGGGAGAGTCTGAAACAGTTTGTGTCCGGGGTGGGGGTGGGGGTCAGCTGCAATCTTTCCTGCTCGCCTCAGAGTCCTGGAGGCGTACAGGTCCAGAAGAGAAGGAAGATTGCAGCCAATCACCTTCTCTGCAGAGCGAATGATGCGCTGCAGCCTGCCCTTGTCCCTGGCAGTGGCAGCAGCGAACCAGATGGTGATGGAGGAGGTGAGGATGGACTCCATGATGGCGGTGTAGAAGTGCACCATCATTGTCTTTGGCAGGCTGAACTTCTTCAGCTGCCGCAGGAAGTACATCCTCTGCTGATGTCACTTTGAAAATAAAACAGATGTGTTAGTGGGGAGTTAGAAAGAAGTGAGCTGACCAGAGCTCTGTAGCCTGCTGTTCACCTCTGCTGAACTTCTTGTCTTGTACAAACTGGATATGACTTGTGAGCGGAGTGTCACCCTGCTGTAGTCCTGAATGAACCTCAGATAAAAGTTAGCAAACCCGAGAAATCGCTGTAGTTTTTTTCGGGACGAGGGTGTAGGCCACTGCACCACCCCACTGACCTTAGCTGGATCTGTCTTCACCTACCACTGTTTGATGATAAAGCCCAGAAAACTCACAGTTTTTAGCCTTTACAAATACTTTGTTCTCCAACAGTCTCACCAACCTAACATGCTCAGTGTCCTCCTCCATGTTCTGTGAGAAGATGTGTATATATTCCAAATCTACAAAGATGAAACATGTTGCAAAGGACCTCATTAACTAATACCTGAAAATCTGACTCAGGTTGATTTCCAGAGATGATGAATGAACGGAGCAGTCTGATGGGTAATATGTGCGTTTACCATCTAATGCGTTCACATCCTTGGCCACCGGTACTCGCTCCACAGCGGTGCCCAACTGAGTGACCACAGAAGAAACAATGAAGTTATCATCCTCCCCTGAATCCACAAGAGCTAGCATGGGGACAGAGCTGTTAGCGCACAGTACTGAAGCCTCAAGTTTGGAAGGGGTAGATGATGCTCATCACGACCTCCTCACTCACTGATGAGCCGGAGCTTTTAGCAGAGGAGGACAGGAATTCACCAGATGACCCGGCAGCTACATTTCTGCCTCTCCCTGCCTCCCTCCCTCCCCCTGTAAGGCTACGTCATCCCATCCACTCTCCACTGCTTCTATTCAAAATTCAACAGTGTTCTGCTACAAAGCTAGCTCCCTGTCTGCCTCCCTTCCCTGAACTGGATGATCAAATACCTTCTTTAATTCAGCTACAAACACTTCAAAAGACTCACAAAAGGGGAGTGCTTAGCCCATTATGCCGTAGCTGAGCAGCTTTATCAGGAGGTAACCCAATCATGAAATTTAACCGGGACTTATCGGTGGAATAAGTAGTTGGTTGCTGCTGAAACACAAAAGAACAGTGAACCATAAATTGACCACAGGAACCTAGATTAGCCAGAGTAACAGTCAGGGACGGGAAAGTAAAGCTCACAGGCTAGCTGGGATCGGGTTGTCTGAGGCGCGGATGGTGAGGGGGGCTCCGGCTGAGTGGTAGCCAGAGTTGCTGAGTTTGCTGAGGGGTGTGGTGACTTGATTTAATTGTCCTCCAAGTTTGTTAACACTGGTAGAGAGAGAGTGTAAAGTTTCCTTTACCTCATGTAGGATCTTCTCGTGCTGTCTGACACAAACGCTTTGGTTACCGAAACCATTGTGGCCACATTGTTCTGTTTGTTTGTTTGTCGGCAGACCCGAGAGCGGACACAGAACACAACAGGAGGTACTAAAGTAACTTTTAAAGTAACTAAAGGATCTGTTGGTGGCAGCGTGGTCCGACCATCGATCCGGTGTGTACACGGGAATCTGGTGCACAGGAAAAACACACATTGGGAGGAAAACTCTGGAAGCTAATCACAAAACTACTAGACACAAGAGACAGGGATGCTGCGATGCCACTGCAGGTTGGAACAATCTGGAAAGGAGTAGCAGAAAGCCGGGAGTATTTCACCAGATAGATGATGAGATGATTGAAGTCAGGTGTGCCGTTCCACCAGGCGTCTGGAATGTAAACACACATACAGGAAAAGTGCATCTCTAGTCTCTTACTGACGTTTCCTCGCTCCTTGGTTAAACTGGAAGTTGTTCTGGTCAGCCATCTTGTGGGCCGTCCCAAAACTCTTTTTTGTGCACAGAGGAGCGAAGAGCGATTATTTCCCCCATTAACGTTTATTATGTCAGAGAACCTGAGAGTCTCTCTGTCGGCAACAAACACTTTCTACGTCCTGCATCATCGTTTCCCTTCAGTCACATGTGAAGCTGAAACCAGAATATATATTATGTTATCCAGCTGTGATCAGCTGATCCAGCTTCACCTGACACTTCAGAGAGGAGGACATCTCATTTCTCTTCTCGCACGGTTTCTTAGTTATTACTGAGTGGATGCAATGAAGAGACACAAGGGAGAGAGGGAAACCAGGGAGACACAGAAACGGCAGTAAGCAATATGTTCTGTGACTTCTTGTCACTGATCGTTTCTGAAATCCCGGTCACATGACCATGTGTCTGCTGTCACGTCGTCTCATCTTCCTGCGGAGGGTCGCAGAGGAACTCTCTTCATCTGTCACATGTTATCGGTTTCTTCTCCTTCAGATGAAGATTTATATTCGAACAGTGAAGCTCAGAAAGACACTGAAACAGATCAATCCCACAGTTAAAGTAGAGAGGACGTTTGTTGATTTGAATGAATCTGGGTTTCCAGCCCAGTTAACATCCAGATCCGGTTCAGGTCTCAGAGATGAAGACGGTTTAGTTCATCTCTTCTGATCAGTGACTGATTGAGAACTCTTGTGATAAACGTGCAACAGCTGTCTGGTGTCAGTCTGTTCTATTTTCAGTGTTTCAATAAAGTTTTCTTCTTCCTGTCTGCCAGAGAAACGAGGGATAAGTGGAGGTAAAGTTTCTTATGGAGGAGCTTTGCTGCTGAGGACGAAGGGAACGACAGACGGCAACAAACAGGTGAGTCCTCACATCCATCCACTCAGTATTGTACAATGGGTGCCTGGGGGCCTCTGGGGCCTCTGGCTACAGACACACACCCTTTACTACACTGAAAGTACCAAATCAAGCTCATTACAGGTAAAAGTCCTGCATTTCAAACGACCTACTTTAGATACAGATAGATGTGTCCGGTGGATGTGGACCTAGGGGTCGGGGCCCTCAAAGACCAGATAAATTTGAGGGGTTGTCAGATGATTAAAGGAGTAAACTTACTCGCTTCAGCACGCTGGTTCTTTGTTCACTAAGGTGGCTGTGTGTTGAAATGTTCCTTTAGTCTGAGGAAACACACTGGATTAGATTTGATCTCAGATAATCAGGTTCTGGACCAGGTCCCCTCTTCAGCCCCCCTGACTCTCTGGACCTGATCAGTAATCTGTCCATGATTGATCAGTCTATTAAGCTGTCACACTGTTTTCACCTGCTGATTGATTCACTGTTCTCAGATCAGATCTGTGTGTGTGTGTGTTGCAGTGTGTTGGTGTGTCTGCAGACAGAGCAGAGGAGGAAGACGATGAGGAGGGAGGTGAAGATGGAAGGAACGACAAACGTCCTGTCGCCTCCACTCCTGTCCCAGGGTCGCCATGGTAACTGCAGCTCAGCACAGATTGACATCGTTTCTGATGTGACTCTGATGTTCAGTAGTGGAGCTTTAACAACAGTGTTATGATGACAACCAACACGTGTCGGTGTTTGTGTGTTTGTGTTGCAACATGTCAGACTGTAAACAGAACCTCTGTGGAGACTGACTGCCTGTCTGTCTGACTGCCTGACTGTCTGACTGTCTGTCTGCTTCTCTGTCTGTCTGACTGTCTGTCTGACTGTCTGTCTGCTTCTCTGTCTGTCTGCTTCTCTGTCTGTCTGACTGTCTGTCTGCTTCTCTGTCTGTCTGTCTGTCTGTCTGACTGTCTGTCTGCTTCTCTGTCTGTCTGCTTCTCTGTCTGTCTGACTGTCTGTCTGCTTCTCTGTCTGTCTGACTGTCTGTCTGACTGTCTGTCTGCTTCTCTGTCTGTCTGCTTCTCTGTCTGTCTGACTGTCTGTCTGCTTCTCTGTCTGTCTGTCTGTCTGTCTGACTGTCTGTCTGTCTGTCTGCTTCTCTGTCTGTCTGTCTGTCTGTCTGTCTGACTGTCTGTCTGCTTCTCTGTCTGTCTGACTGTCTGTCTGCTTCTCTGTCTGTATGACTGTCTGACTGTCTGACTGTCTGTCTGTCTGTCTGCTTCTCTGTCTGTCTGTCTGTCTGCCTGACTGTCTGACTGTCTGTCTGCTTCTCTGTCTGTCTGTCTGACTGTCTGACTGTCTGACTGTCTGTCTGTCTGTCTGCTTCTCTGTCTGTCTGTCTGTCTGCCTGACTGTCTGACTGTCTGTCTGCTTCTCTGTCTGTCTGTCTGACTGTCTGACTGTCTGTCTGCTTCTCTGTCTGTCTGTCTGTCTGACTGTCTGTCTGCTTCTCTGTCTGTCTGCTTCTCTGTCTGTCTGACTGTCTGTCTGCTTCTCTGTCTGTATGACTGTCTGTCTGTCTGTCTGTCTGTCTGTCTGACTGTCTGTCTGCTTCTCTGTCTGTATGACTGTCTGACTGTCTGACTGTCTGTCTGTCTGTCTGCTTCTCTGTCTGTCTGTCTGTCTGCCTGACTGTCTGACTGTCTGTCTGCTTCTCTGTCTGTCTGTCTGTCTGTCTGACTGTCTGACTGTCTGTCTGCTTCTCTGTCTGTCTGACTGTCTGTCTGACTGTCTGTCTGCTTCTCTGTCTGTCTGCTTCTCTGTCTGTCTGACTGTCTGTCTGCTTCTCTGTCTGTATGACTGTCTGACTGTCTGACTGTCTGTCTGTCTGTCTGCTTCTCTGTCTGTCTGTCTGACTGTCTGACTGTCTGACTGTCTGTCTGCTTCTCTGTCTGTCTGTCTGACTGTCTGTCTGTCTGACTGTCTGTCTGTCTGTCTGACTGTCTGTCTGCTTCTCTGTCTGTCTGCTTCTCTGTCTGTCTGTCTGACTGTCTGTCTGCTTCTCTGTCTGTCTGACTGTCTGTCTGCTTCTCTGTCTGTCTGTCTGACTGTCTGTCTGCTTCTCTGTCTGTCTGACTGTCTGTCTGCTTCTCTGTCTGTCTGCTTCTCTGTCTGTCTGACTGTCTGTCTGACTGTCTGTCTGTCTGCTTCACTGTCTGTCTGCTTCTCTGTCTGTCTGTCTGTCTGTCTGACTGTCTGTCTGTCTGCTTCTCTGTCTGTCTGCTTCTCTGTCTGTCTGTCTGTCTGACTGTCTGTCTGCTTCTCTGTCTGTATGACTGTCTGTCTGCTTCTCTGTCTGTATGACTGTCTGTCTGCTTCTCTGTCTGTATGACTGTCTGACTGTCTGTCTGTCTGCTTCTCTGTCTGTCTGACTGTCTGTCTGACTGTCTGCTTCTCTGTCTGTCTGCTTCTCTGTCTGTCTGACTGTCTGACTGTCTGTCTGTCTGTCTGCTTCTCTGTCTGTATGACTGTCTGTCTGTCTGTCTGCTTCTCTGTCTGTCTGACTGTCTGTCTGACTGTCTGTCTGTCTGCTTCACTGTCTGTCTGCTTCTCTGTCTGTCTGCTTCTCTGTCTGTCTGACTGTCTGACTGTCTGTCTGTCTGTCTGTCTGTCTGTCTGTCTGTCTGACTGTCTGTCTGTCTGTCTGACTGTCTGTCTGCTTCTCTGTCTGTCTGACTGTCTGTCTGACTGTCTGTCTGACTGACTGACTGTCTGTCTGCTTCTCTGTCTGACTGACTGACTGTCTGTCTGCTTCTCTGTCTGTCTGACTGTCTGACTGTCTGTCTGACTGTCTGCCTGTCTGACTGTCTGACTGACTGTCTGACTGACTGTCTGACTGACTGACTGTCTGACTGACTGTCTGACTGTCTGACTGTCTGTCTGACTGTCTGACTGACTGTCTGTCTGCCTGTCTGTCTGACTGACTGTCTGTCTGTCTGTCTGACTGACTGTCTGCCTGCCTGCCTGTCTGCCTGCCTGTCTGTCTGTCTGTCTGTCTGACTGTCTGCCTGCTTCTCTGTCTGTCAGTTTGTTGTTGTGCAAACAGTAAATTCCTGGTGAGGGATCGAGCCAATAAGTGAGTTACAACAAATCTTTGAAGAATTTGAAAATAGCAGAGAAACACTACAACAGAAAACCAGCTGGACCAGAGGGCAGTAACTAACTGGCCCCGAGCAAAGGGATGATCATTTAGACAGTTCGGGGTTCTATATTCTGGGGAATAGAAATCCTCTCCAGGCCTTGAATGAATATTCAGCAAGAGAGGAAAATAATAAAACAATCTCACAGCTCTGACCTAAACCCTACACATGTGGACAGAATAATAAAATGAGGAAATAATAAGAAACAATTAAGGGGAAAAAAACAATATACATATATATAAGACAACAATAATAGGGGCACATGCCTGTGTGACACCACAATGTGTGACCTATTAGATTCTGTGACCCAGATGGCAAGTTAAGCTTTGTTGACGATGTGAAGCGGTTGTAGTTTGGTTGGTTTAGGCACAAAAAGTACTTGGTTATGGTTAGGAAAACATTGTTGTTTGGGTGTAGTCAGAATCTGAGAGGTCACAGATTTTGGTGTTACACCTGCAACCCGTACACAGGATAAACAGCAAATGCATAAGAGACTAAATGGAAGGAGAAACAATTTTCTGCCACCACTTTGGTTTGCCTCTGTCTGTCTGTCTGTTTGTCTTTCTGTTACTTTGTTAGTTAGATGTTGAGTTTTGAACAGCAGCACCAGACACTCTGTGAAACTTTGTTCTTTATTCTTTTATTCTGAAACATCATGAGTCACAGTCGAGCACTGCTCCAAATGCACAACACAATATCCACACAGCAACCACTGATTCAGACTCTACAGCTCCGGAGACAGAAACACCTGCTGCTGGATCAAGTTTGGGCTTTTTCAGAAGAGGTTTAATTACAGCTACTTTAAAGTACTGTGGTACATAGCCTGTTGATAAAGATAGATTGATCATATCTAGTATAGAAGTGCTGACTAAGGGTAAAACTTCTTTAAGCAGCCTAGTCGGGATGGGGTCTAAGAGGCAGGTTGATGGTTTAGATGAAGAAATTATTGAAGTTAGTTGGTAAAGATTGAGGGAAGCAAAACAGTCTAAACATATATCTGGTTCTACAGCTGTTTCTAAGGTTCCTGGGTTAAGAGATAAGTCGGAGCCAGTTGAGGGTCGGTGGTGATGGATTTAGGTGAAGTGAGATGGCATCTCTGATCTCAGTGTTAGCAGTGTGAACTGTTTGTGTTCAGGTGTGTGGTCTGGACTGGAGACGACCGGGTCTTCTTCTTCAATCCCACAATCCACCTTTCTGTCTGGGAGACACCGGGGGAGCTGATTGGTCAAGACATCAGCAGCATCATCGAGGACCCACCCCACAAGAGGAAGAGGACGACACCTGCTGGTCTGTCACTTTCCTTGTCTGTCAATCAAAACCAGTTAACCAATGCTGAAGCTATCTAGTAGAGTTTCAGGAGCAGGACCACTTCCAGCATTCCTATGAACACACACGCAACGCTCTCCCCTTTGGCTCTTGTATACTGCGCTAGAGACGAGACCAAGCCACATCGCCCTAAGTGCGCTAAGCTGCCATTCAGTAAGGTTACTGCACTTAATCCAACAGACAATACCACAAAACTTCTCAATGCTCTCATGTCAGCCATCATGCCCAGAGTTCCAGGGGGTACCGGGGCTCCTGATGCCAGGATCTTCTGTCCCCCAGCTTCAACAGTCCCAGCAGCTCATGTCAGCTAGAGCCTTTGGCACCAGGATGCTGGTGGGCAGCTTTCCTCCTCAGCTCTTGCCGCAGCAATTTGTCTTCCCTCTCAACTCAAATGTCATCGTCTTCATCAAACTTGCTCTTGAAAGTTGACATCACCGACACTTCAAAGTTCTCCCCATCCAACCTGACTTCTGCTGATTCTTCAGTGAGGTGCATATTCGCTGTTAGTCTCACCTTTGGTTGCGAAAGCAGCCCCAAACTCTTTGTCACCTTGTCAGAAGCACTCTGCCGAATGCTGACCAACAACCATACGATTACATTCCACAACTTCTCCTGGAAGATTTCCTCATTTCCCCTCCCTCATCGCCACATGCTTCTGATCTGGTCAATCTGACCTGAGTTTTCTATGACTTCAGGGTTCCACTGTCTGAAGAGAAAACAAAGGGCCCCTCCACGTCTCTCTTTCCCATGTTTGACTCAGCCTTGTTGTCAACTGGAACGGCATCACCTTCATCTATGAGGAAACAACTGACACACCACACGACATCAGTCACTGACGCTGCTCCTCCTGGTGGTTTTGGGGGTTTCTACAATGAAGATGGTTCGCAGCAGAATGGCTCCCAGAACTTGCATGTGTATTCCAGGGCCCTTCCTCTGCTCTCTTCAAAATCTACCCCATAATAGCTGCAGATGTCATGAAAATCCATCCTCATATACTCCATCAACCTTTCAGTAGTAGACATAATCACCAAAGGTTACACTGCCTAACAGGGCCCTCCATTACATGTTTTCTAGAACTACATCATCAGCAGTATCTCACTCTGGACCCTCTCGTCTTACAGCTCAGCTTGGAGGGGTTCCTGCTACTTTCATGACCAGTACAACAAAACCTTTCTGTCAGTTGGTCTTATCACAATGACCCGTTTTGTTACCTACGCCCGTTCTGCCATGTTCTTTCTTTCTTTTCTTTTTTGTTTCCTCAGATGCTCTGAATTCACAGGCTACCCTTCAGTTTGTCTCGCGGTTGTCACGCTTGCATTTCAGTCTTATTTTTCATGGTTTTCTACTAATCAATCTCATTAGCTTCCACCCGTCTTTTATCTCAAGTCCAATCACTAGGACTCCTTTTGAGACTCTTGCAAACTACTTGCAATCCTGAGATTCTGATGACCTGAGGTCCCTTCTTCATCTCTACAAGTGGCTACTCCATTCTGGCTCCACCAGCACTTCTGCCATGTGCTCTCCTTGTCTCCGGTCACTCCTTCAGTCTCGGTGCATCCTGTAATGGCATCCCCGAGCACTTAATGCAAATCATGGGCCACTGATCCTCCCAAACGTATAAACGCTACATTCGTTCAGATCTCCAAGATCTCAGAGCCGCTCATTCTCCTCTCAAGTAAGTGAGGGCTTTGGGGGTCCATTGGGCCCAGTGAAGAAGTACAAGCGAGTTACAAGCCTTGCACACGATCATTATTTTCATTAATAAATCATTTAAACACATCTTGTTGATGGTGTGGTCTTTGCCAGCGAAATAACAAAACATATATTTCAGAACAAACGTGTCTGTTCACGCTGTCAAACTCTTTAAAGCGTTTAAACTGTAGAACTCGTTTCTTTCTGACAGACACCAGCTCAAGCTGTCAGTCATCTGGTCTCCATAGCAACGATGAAGATGATGACCATGAACACAACTCCAAAAAAAACAGGTGAGTCGGACTAATCAGAGAACAGATCACAGATGAGGTTAAAGGTCAAAATGTTTGTTTTAGTTTGTTTTTTTCCAATGTGAAAATTTCCGACCTGCTGATGTCATCACCTCTGAGCGATGTGATTGGTTACTTGATGAGTTCAGTTCAAGATTGAATCTCTCTCTCTCTCTCTCTCTCTCTCTCTCTCTCTCTCTCTCTCTCTCTCTCTCTCTCTCTCTCTCTAGAATAGAGGAACCAATGTCTCTCGTCCCTCGTCCAGGTGAAGTTAAACTCCTCCCACTGGAGCTGCGTGTTGCTCATTTTAGGGAAATGATGCTTGAGAGAGGGGTAACACACATTTATATACATATTTTATATATATATGTATGTATGTACACCTGTAATAGCTAATGGGGGTTTTATGAAAAAGGAGATCATGCGTGCAGTTCGAGGAAATCCATTTGTTTAAAATGTTTGTTACTAAAAAATTTTAATGTTATTGACAAAATGTGAAAAGCTTCTTTCTTCCATTAGAAGCTCTTTAGAGATGGTCCATAACTTTCGGGTTGAATATCACCTGTGAAACATCAGTCAGCTTTATTCTGAACTCATCTGACTGTTGAACTTAAAGCTGACAGCACCTTCCTGTTTTCAGCCACTTTGTTTTATCTACTTCTGTACGGTGAAACGTCCCGCTGCTTCGGCTGCTGCCACTTCCTGTTCACACTGTAACCATGACAACAGACAACAATCAGATGGTTTAGTTTTTTGGGTTTTTTTGTAATTGAAGTCTTTATTTTTAACATTTTTAACAAAACAGAACAAACAAACAAAAAAAAAAGACAGCTTCCAAACACATGATTAATTCACATTTGCATTTTAGGCCCATTATCAATAACCACTACAGACAGAGACAAAAAAGATACAATAAAATCTAATTATAAAGTGCCTATACATGCAACACCATAAAAATAACAGATTTAACAAAAGAGAAGGGCACTAAAAAAATAAAAAATCCATCAATCTCAGTCAAAAAGCCGTCCCCAACATTTGGCAAAACCCTCCATATCATCATTAATCCTGGCCAAGAATTTTTCATATGACACAATTTTCAGCATATTTTCTTTCCACCTGTTAAACTCTGGATCCTTCCACACACTGAGGATAACTCTGGCAGCTGTAATCACCCCCACCTTTATAACCAAAAAATCATATTTCAGAACTCCCGGTAACAGACTGATCCCCTAATAAGCACAATCTTGGTTCATGGGTATTGTCAGGCCAATCCACCTTCCTATACTGTCCAGTACTCTTTGCCAAAAGGGGTAAACTGTCCCACATTCCCAAATAGCATGCAGAAATGTCCCTGGATCTGAGCTGCATTTCCAGCATATATTATTGGGCATAATTCCCATTCTGTGAAGTTTAGAAGGAGTAAACTACCACCTATGTATTTATTTGTACTGAGTAAATTTACCCCTGGCCTCTCTTATGTATTTATTGGACCAATCTTCTTTACAAATGACACAACTCAGATCTCTCTGCAGATGGTCTCTTTTGTTAAATTGTTAAATAATTTTTAGAAAACAGCTGCTCTATGTGCTGAACCAGACAATTCTAAAAACTCCACCACTGCATTTGTGCTTTGAGTAAATTTTCCTTTGGTAATACAATCCCTTATTTGTAAATATTTCCAATAATTAGTTTTCCTAGTCAGACCATATTTTTGGGTTATTTCAGCAAAGGACATAAACACTCCCTCTGAATAAAATCACTTATCCTGTGTATGCCTTTGACAAGCCATTTCAGAGTTGTTCCATAACGAGGCATAAGGTTGTCTTAAATGAGATGCTCCACAAATCTTGTGTACCTCTACCCAGACAGCTTTAGAATACGTGAGTACCGGGTTATGATGAAAGTCCGGTCCATTATTAGCTGATCCCTGTGAGAGAACATCCGAGGGTGTAAAAGGGCTCACTAGTTCCTGTTCGATCTTGATCCAGCTCAGATCAGAGTCCAACCCTGTCCAGTGTTTGACCAGTCTTGACATTTCAAATGCTAAATTATACAGTTTCACATTTGGAAGAGCCATTCCCCCAATGTCTCTAGAGGCCCACATTTCCTTTATATTAACTCTTGGCTTCTTCTTGTTCCACAATTATCTTCTCAAAGTGACTAAATATATGTAAAGGAATTCTTACAGGTAACATCATGGAAACATAATTGAACTGCGGGGCCACCACCATTTTAATCACATTGATTTTACCTCATAATGTAAGATTCAATTTTCCCCATTTATCCAGATTTGTTTTTATTTTTAGGAGGAGAGGTTCCATATTTGAAAGCATAATGTCCTCTAGGTTTGGGTTTAATAATATTCCTAAATACTTCATACCCGAAGGTAAACACTTGAAATTGAATGTAGTAATGTATCTAGAATGGCATGATGCTGAAAACGGCATGCCTTTCGATTGGTACCAATTCATTTTATAGCCTGACAACCTTGAATATAACTCAACACATGTGAGCAACGCAGGTAAAGATTGCATGGGATCAGTTAACACTGCTAAGATGTTGTCGGCATACAGAAACAACTTGTGCTCCGTACCCCCTGCTTGAACACCTCTGATATCTGTATTAGCGCGAAGAGCTGGAGCCAGTGGTTCCAGAAATATCGTGAACACCCCTGACGGGTCCCGCATGAAGGGTTGGAAAAAGTCCGACACCAATCAATTTGTCAAAACTGCTGCCCTCGTTCTGGAATATATAGTTTTCACCCAGCTACAAAATCCAGGGCCCGAACCCGAACCTTGAAAGGGCTGCCATAAGAAAGCCCCATTCTACCCGGTCAAAGGCCAAGCAAGAAGGCCGCAACCGGGTCTAGACTAGATTTACTTTTGTGTATAAGATGAATAAGTCCTCTCATGTCAACCAACTTGATCACTATTGATAATATCTGGCAATATCTTATCCAAGCGGGAGGCCAAAACCTTTGTCAAAATCTTACAATCAACTCCTAAAAGACTTACTGGTCAGTAATTCGCTGGGTCTGATATATCCCTATCCTTTTTAGGAATAAGGGAGATTAGTGCATCATTAAATGTACCCGTTAAGGAGCCTATTTCTAGTGCCTCAAGGTAAACTTTATGCAAGACTGGAGCCAGAATATCAATATATTTCTTATAATATTCAATCGGGAAGCCATCCAAGCCTGGTGACTTCCCATTTTTCATTGATGAAAATGCAGCTCTGACCTCTTCTTCTGTTATAGGTGCATCCAGCCTTGTTTTTTGTTCACCAGAAAGACCTGAGAAAAATGTCTCCACCTCCTCCTCATTAAGTGCGCCAGAAGAAGTGTACAAATCTTGATGGAATGATTTGAAAATTGAGTTTTTTTCCTTAGATGAGGTTACCACTTGGTTAACTTTTTAATCATTGATATATTGTTTAGGTTATCTTGCTGCTTCAGTTGTCTCGCTAATAATCTACCATTCTTTTCACCACTTTCATAAAATTTTGTTCTAAGCCTAAACAAGGCATATTCAGCCTTTTTATTATAAACATCATTTAACTGATATTTTAATTTACAAATAGTCTGGTATTTATCATTTGAATATCGTCTCACCAAATCCTTCTCCACTTCACGTATTTCTTTATCCAAAGTTTTTTTTCTTTCTAAATTACTTTTTTAAACTTTTGTCACATATGCAATAATCTTTCCTCTTAAATATGCTTTGGACGCTTCCCAAACTGTGGCTACTTTATCTGTGGAACCCATATTGATTTCAAAGAAAAATTAAGATCCTTTGTTAACTCCTCACGAAACATTTTATTTTGCAACAACATAGTATTGAGCCTCCAGTGACACCTCTTTGTTTTATCCGTGTTCAAATCAGTTTGCAACTCTACTGTGGCATGATCACTAATGGCAATGGTACCGATCTCACAACCTACAACTGAATCTACCAAAGACTTTGATATTAAGCCAAAATCTATCCTTGAATACGTTTTATGACAATTAGAATAAAATGTATATTCCCTTGAACTAGGATTAACTAACTTCCAGATGTCTACTAGGCTATGGTCCTCCGTCAACAAATGAATAGCCTCTCTGTCCCTAGGTGAAGACCTACCCCCGGGTTTGCTCTTGTCAATGATCCCATCCGTCACCTGGTTGAAATCTCCGGCCAATATGAGCTGCCCCTCACGATCACCTATTATCTTGTTAATTCCATGAAAAAAATCTGGTTCCTCTTTATTAGGTGCATAAATATTGCACAAAATTGCCCTTCCTTATCATTATATTTTTTCAGCATCACAAAGCTTAAATTTTCAAAAGGATCAAAACACCATTTTGTTTGCTTGAGTATGAACTATGAAAGACGGTGCCCACCCAATCTCTTTTACACTTTTTTGCCTCTTCCTCTCCAACAATGTGAGATTCCTGGATAAATGCTATGTCTGTATTTCTAGATTTTAAGTATGTCACAACCTTCCTCCTTTTAACTGGGTTCCCACATCCTTTTATGTTCCATGATATTATTTTAATATACCTATTCATCTCTATCTAATAAAAAAATAAAATAAAAGTGGAGGGACACTCCCTGTGCGCTTTACAACCCTGGCCAAAGCCAAAAACATTACACAACTCAAATATATATATATATATATATATATATATATATATATATAGGCACTCAATATTACAAAACACATCTGGCCCATTCAAACTAGCTGACTAAAAAGAATCATGAACAAAATGAAAACCCTTCTTTGCATAGCAACCCAGAACAGTGTTGCTAGGCGACCCAACCTCCCATCCTACCCATCCCAAATTAACTATAGCTTGAGTCACTAAACTTTACTTGGTGCGTGAGACACATTAGCCCCGTTATACCTTATAGTTTTCAGTTGACATACACTTCTCCAATATGTTACATTAAGCTCCTCTAAGTCGACTCCTGCAGAAATTTCTCAGCCTTCTTTCCATCTTTGAACGTTTTCTTTTGTCTGTTCCATGTAAAAATAAGTGTTGCAGGATAAGCCAGCCTGTGCTTCACTTGTAGCTCTGGAAGACGCTTCTTCGCCGGTTGAACGCTTTTCTCATCTCCGCCAACTCCATCGTAACATCCTCAAAGAAGGAAAGCTTAGCGCCTTCCCAGTCGATCCCCCGCTTCCCTCTGGCCACTCGTAGTACTTTCTCCCTGGCAAATGAAGGTAGAAAGCGGACAAGTATCGCCCTGGGAGGTTCATTAGGGTCCGGCATTGGTACAGGGGAACGATGCGCACATTCAATTTCAAATTCACTTCCAGAAAGCTCAAATGCTTTATCCAGAATCTGTCACATATTGATCCACTTTTCCGGGTTCCTCCACGCCTTCTTTAAGCCCAATAATCCATACATTATTTCTCCTACTGCGGTTTTCAAGGTCCTCCACGCGTGACCACAACACCTCCTGCCTCTCCTCGCATTTGTCCACTTTTGCCTCAGTAAGCGCGCTAGCATCTTCAATGTCTGATATCCGCTGTTCCGCCTCTCCCAGCCTCACTTTTATATCTTCCAATGAGTCTTTTAGTTCTTTAGTTGTGACATCTTTTGCCACCACCCGAAGAGTAGTATTCATTTTCTTTATTTCTTCAAAAACGTCCTTTTTTCTGTCGCTCCCCGTGCTCAGCGTCATCAGTCGCAGGTGTGCTTTCAGGCGGCTCCGGCTCCGGGGCGAGGCTAATGCTAGCTTGCTTCTTCCTCGTGGTAGCTCCCTTGAAAAAGTTCGTTTTGTTATTACTTGCCATTTTTCCGAAGGCTGCAATCCTAGAGAAACCTCAAAGTCGACAAAGGGTGTCCAAATTATGACCACAATTGAAGTGTATGTCTCCAAATTCAGGACATTAATCAACGGGCTTTAGGAGCTCCTCTAGTGTGCGGCCATCTTCCTCAGTGGTCCCACGTGACTCCAGATGGTTTAGTTTTGAAACTGAAGAAAAAGTCTGAATCTGATTATTAGACAAGATCAGTCAATATTTCTGCTAATGTTTCATTTCTGTTCAGAGCCCAGTATCTGTGCATATCTGAATAATTTATTGGTATCAGAGGAACACACCTAGATTGTGCATTTCTACACAGGAACTATAAAAAGTATTTTATTGAAGGAGTAAATAAATATATCTCCGTCTGTTCTGTTCTGAGGTTTCTGCGTTCTCCACCTGGGAGAAGGAGCTCCACAAGATGGTGTTTGACCCTCGATACCTGCTGCTGACCTCAGCTCAGAGGAAACAGGTTCAAAACCAACAGCTGCTTTCATGTTTGGGAATAATTTCCACTGATGTAGAAACACCTGCTGTAGTCTCTTAGTGACAGGAAGCAGGGGGTGAAGTCTCGCTGTTCCGATGACACTGTGACGTCATCTGTGTGTGTCTGCAGGTGTTTGATCAGTTTGTGAAGAGCAGGATGAAGGACGAGTACAAAGAGAAGAAGAGCAAACTCCAGAAAGCCAGAGAAGAGTTCAAGCAGCTGCTGGAAGAGGCCAAGATCACCAGCAGGTATCACTCATTCATTATTCACCTGTGTTCCTGTACATTTGACCTGAGTCCACCTCTTCAGCTGGACTGCAGCTGTTTACCTACCTGTCAGATCACTGAGGATCAAACTCCAGCTGACTCCTGACGCTCTGTGTTTGGTTGGTCAAAGGTTTGATTCCCAGCAGACTGAGATCGTGCAGAAAGGGAAAAGAGAAGCTCAAACAACTCTCAGTCATCCAGGTCACAGTTATCCAACGAAGGTTGAGGTCAAGGGCGACTGGACTTAAAGAAGCTAGAAGACTGACTTCAGGACTCCCTTCGTGAAAATGTTCATCAGTTGAGAGTTGGTGTTGCTCTCATGGACTGTGTGTCTTCACCTGAATCCATGTATCATTCATGCTTTGATTATTCTGTTTTAAAACCCAAATCGGAAAAACCAAAAAAAACAAGCCGTTTACTGTTTGATCTTTTTTAAAAACACAATAGAAAAAGAGGGAAAGGAGCTGTGGAGTGATTTCTCCATGACAGGTGGTGGATCCTTAGTGGTTGCTGGACGTGTGTCGTGTGCAGCAGCTGTGGTCTGCCTCTGACCTCAGATTGCTCACACATTCACAAACATATTCCTGGTAATCTCCAAGAGGCATCTCATGGTACAGCCTCCGACAGAGAAGCAAGATGGTGTCAAACTGGGTTTGATCTCACTGGAGCAACAGCTCTTACTTCTGGTTGGCTGCTTTGCCCGCGAGCCATTCCAACATTCACGGCTTCAGTTTCAGTCACAGGTTGATTCAGTACGCCAGCATCCAGGTAACATTTATTTTGGGGCTGAACTAAAATGACTGGTAACCTTGAGCCACCTTAGAAAATACCTGAGCATGTTTATCAAAGCTTACGGTGA